ATACGAGACAAGGAGGTGGAAGATGGCAAGAAAAACGAGATCACACAAAAAGTGTGAAATCTACATTAAGGTGCAGCACAAATTGGGGAGGGGGGAGTATAATTGAATAATTGCAGCACCTACAATATACAAGGCATCAGTCTGCGAAAAAAATTATTTACTAGCGTAACGTAAGCCCATTTCAGCTGAATATGGCTTGCGTGCAGGTGGGATTGAGGGTGGAGTGGAGTGGAGGACTATATACCACAATGCCTTTACACGGATGCAACACTCATACAACCCTTATGGGCCTGCTCATTTTGCAAATGTGAAGATGCAGGTGATCTCTCTGATTTTTGGCACCACAAGCGTTGGATTTAAAAGTATGTAGGACCAGCGCAAACACAATATCCATGTATGAGCCTTTGGGGGCCTCAGAGGCAGGACAGGAGACTCCGTACCTCTTGCGCCCAACTTAATGCAAAGCAAACAACCTCAGTTTTGGCCATCCATCACCACATAAACGGATCATCAGCCCTGTGGCACTTTCCAAAGAGATACACTATGCAGCAGACCTCAGCATCAGCCTAAATTCATGCGCAAAGGCATTTCTGCAGGTTCGGTGCTGGCTACCAGCTTTTCCGGCTTCGCAAAAGGGTTGGGCCAATTCCCGGAAGTCCTGGGAACCTGTGGCTCTTAGCCTTGATGGCTGTGGGACTCTTTCTGAAGGCCATCTGCTGGGAGACTCTGGGCTTCCACGGGCAGTTGGTGGCCCCCTGGGAGAACAGACTGCTGGACAAGATGGGCCAGGGGTCCCATCCAGCAGGGCACGGCTTATGTTCTTATTTCTCATTAGGGCCTAGCCTAATTAGGTTTGGTTTGGCTAGCAACATCCTTATATATGGCCTTAGTTGTTAGTTCTGAACTGTCTTGTAAGAAACAACATGGTAGAGTGGTGAAGGAAGACACAGGTTCAAGCCTATTCTCCTTCTCAGAAGCACAGTGGGTGACTGGGCCAGTCCTTCTTTTTGAGGCAAGGAAAAATTGGAACAAGAATCACCTGAACTTGGAGGAAAGCTGCTTTGTAAAACTTACAAAAAGTAAATAGCTGGAGCAGGAGAGGCAATGGGACTCTTCCCCCTTTAACATGCCCCTTGATCTAATTTCAAAGGCCTCCTCCAATTATTCTAGGGCTCAGCATAATGCGTAATCCAACTCTGGGATGGAAGATAGAAAGAAAGAGACAAAGGGAAGAAAGGGCCAGAAAAAGGAGAGGGTGAGAAAGTGAGCAAATAGGGGGCCTTACCTGCGTCTCACCCAAGTGTCACCCACCAGATGCAGTTCCTCCAGGGTGACATGAAAAAGCTGCCAATCTACCTGGGACAACCTGGGTCATGTGATGGCCTTCCTCACACTTCCACAACTGATCCTTCCATACACAAAGGCACAAGCAACAATCATTCATTCGTCATATTTAGATAGCTGTCGTATTTCATATTCATTAGCCATATGAAATTAACTGGCAGCTACCGATGGCAGTCAAAAGGTCCTGCCCTTACAAACCTACATTTTGTTGGGAATTGTTGGGGTCAGGGACCCTGCAACGATTATCAAGGTAGAGAATGCAACCCAGAAAAAACAGAGAGAGCGAGCAGGAAACTGCTGGCTTGTCTCAGATGTGATAACTCACTTTATTATAAAAATTCTCCCAGGGACCATTTGGAGATCACACATTTTATCTGAGAAATCGTATTTTCAACTCCCTAAAGAGTAAGCCAGATTTTATTTGTTTCTATACTGTTCTTCCTCCCAGAGGGGAAAAACTCTTACAATAAATCATGGTTTCTCAACCTTAGCAACTTTAAAATGGGTGGACTTCAACTCCCAGAATTCTCCAGCCAGGAAAGTTGAGAAACAAGACAATAAATCATTACCATAAAAACAAACATGCTTAAGAATAATAAATGCAAAAATTAAGAGCAAAGTTAATTTAAAAAACCAACCAGAAAAGTCAAGGATGTAACACAAAGCGAGGCTGGTCCTGTGGTTACCCTAGAAGTATCTGGATGAACAGGCAGGTTCTAAATGGTTTTCTGAAAGAAGGCAGGCTAGAGGCAAGTCAAAGACCTTTGAGTACAACTGGCTCAACATCACCAAAACACTCCTGCACTGTGGGCTGCATCTACTGGTGTGATCCTGGCAAAGCCTCCCCAGTTCATCTCAGTGTACAGGTTAGATGATATCTGGGGAAGATGAATGTTTGATGTCAGCCCTTCGAGGCAGACCAGAGTAGGAAACCAAAATCATGCAGGCTAATACTACTTTTATTATAAGAACCTTGCAAAACTGAATGTGCTTCCCTCCTCCCTCCCTCCCTTTATCTTCATGGGAACTAGGGAGGGTCCTGTCTGAGATGCTTTCTCAGGTTACAGTTCTGGCCCAGACTCAGGTTTCTTTTATCTGATTGTTGTCTTGGTAGCAGCTCTTCCTCCTGTTCCTCAAGGTTCTTCCTGTTCCTTCTGCCCATTACATCTAAGTATGGGGGTCCTAAGCCATTCAATCCTTTATGGACCCACATGTAGATCAGTGGACTTCAACTCCCAGAATTTTGCTGGGAGTTGAAGTCCACACATCTTAGAGTTGCCAAGGTTGAAAAACACTGATGTAGATATGTTGATGAAGATTCTCAGCCATCCAGGTGGAATTATCTGGAGGCTGAGTCATGGCAACTGGACTTCTTTTCTTTTGGTTTGATATGTTTCCCCGCGCCGTCCTTGATCATGTTTTAACCCTCGGAAAAAATGCAGATAGAACAGAAAGAACAGAGCAAAAAAACAAAAAAAAAAAAAAA